AAAAAAATATATAAATCAGTTTTTATATTTATATATAAATCATTAAAGAAATTCAAAAAATCAATTTAAAAATATATGTGAACTGACATTTCAACTGTTTTAAAAATATTTTTTTACATGATGATCTTTCATCAAATGATATAAATTAAGATATTGTTTCACATATATTTGTTTCATAGTATGCTTGTTTAACATGTATTTGTTTCATCATGTGAAACTTTTTTACATGTATTTTTCGTTTCACCAAGTGTACAAAAATAGGTTTTACATTTCATTTTTTTACAAGGTGAACACAAACATATGTTAAACAATACTTTTAATCATAGTTTTTAATTAAAAAAATCATGTAAAAAAATAATTTGTTTTTTACATCATCAAAAACCACACGGACCAAAATCATGAGATCGATTTTGATCAGGTAAAAAAAAACTGATAAAAGGAAAAAGTGCCCCTCGTTTATTGAAATCTTTTACTGTTCGTCGTTAGAGAGAAAGACAAAATCCATACGTTTTTGTAAACCACGGTGACCATCTTATAATTTCGAAAATTATAAAAACAAAAAGCATTATTTTCGACAAACCACATGGACCAATTTTGTAGTTTACTCTAGTTTTTATTTGTTGACTGTGAAGTGGGACTTAAAGAAAAACGATTAAAACATGAAATACAAATAGTTAATACTGAATTCTCCATATTTTGGTAGCAGGGAAAATTGCATCAAAATGAAATGAACTTGCACTTGATTTCTATTTTGGGGAACTAACTTGCACCTGATTTCTATTTTGGGGAACCAACTTACAAAATCGTCATTTTGGGACAACTTGCACCTGATTCTTATTTTAAGGAACCAACTTGCAAAATAATTATAGAAAAATAACTAAAATTCGTTTTTTTTTTTCCAAAAAAAGAAAATTGCACCAAAATGGAACCAACTTTCACATGATTCATATTTTGGGAAACCAACTTTCAAAATCGTCATTTAGGGGTTTCTATCAAACTTTTTGTTTATTTAAGGATCTGGTTGATCTGTTGAACAGGTAACAGGTAATTTAAGGGTCTCTATCAAACTTTTGGTTTAAACTTTAATATTGATTAAAACTTTTATATTGATACGGATTGGTTAGATATAAAAATCTTGAATGTGATATTTAATATTTATTTTTTATTGCATCAACTAATTTTTTTCTATTAAATTAATTTTTTATTGCATTAGTAAAAAACAATTTTTATGGTGGTAATTTAGATTTTTTTGAAAAAATCTTCAATTTGATATCTGAATTTAAAAAAAAACGAGATTTGAAATGAAAAATAGATTTTTATTGCATTAATTTTTGAAAAAAAAAGAATTTTATATATTTTTCTATAATTATTTTGCAAGTTGGTTCCCTAAAATAGAAATTAGGTGCAAGTTGGTTCCCCAAAATGACCATTTTGTAAGTTGGTTTCCCAAAATAGGAATCAGGTGAAAGTTGGTTCCATTTTGGTGCAATTTTCCCTTGGTAGTATGAGTCACAAGGGGGCGTTTACCCAAATACTTATCCGGATCTTATGCAACAATTTACCCGGTAAACGTTTACCTGGGTAAGAGTTCTCAACATTATCTACTGGGCAAGACTCTCTATTCTTATCATCGCTCTTACCGGGTAAGATTTTCAGCCCTTGCCGTGTGTATCAATTGAGGAAAGTTACCCGATCAACACTTACCGAGTAAGTGTTTAGTAAACGGCCATTTAGTTTTATGTACAAAATACTGTAATAAA